AAAAAAAAAAAAAAAAAAAAAAAGAAAATTAATGCAATCAAACTTTGCAGTGGCAAACATAAGTCAACGACAGCCTGCCGGTAGGGCAAGTTTAAAAAAACAAACAAAAAAATGCATAAAAATGCTACGTTTACTTATCATGTCTTTTTTCTTTGATATTTTTCCTTATTAAGTTTGCCTTGACATTACATTTACCTAATTTACGTCATTTAAAGTGCATAGTAGGTGCCTTTTTTCCCAAAAAAACTGTAACTCTGTTTAAAACCAAAACTTCTTTATTTTTATTAAACAGCATTAGATAGTATTATCAATGGCGGATCGCCTCGTGGAGGCAAATAAAAAAAGCCATAAAATATATATATAGTGTCGTGGAGAACAGCAGCATAAGGCATGGCGGACTCAAAATTAAAATTTTTTAGATATATTTATACACCTAATTTGTGTGTGCGCGTCTGTATAGCACAATAATAATAGCTTGGAACATGTCAATAAATACATAAAAATAACATGCATAAGAGCTGAAATCACAGCAAAGCAAATAAATAAAGAGATTACAATAAATGATAGCCATAAAAAGATTTTTTAACAAACGAAGATGAAAATTAATACAAATCATGGTTTTAAATAGCGCGCTATAGCGGCGCTCTCAGATTAGCTAACGCCAAGCTATTGCTGTTTTTGCCGCTATTCGCGCTATTCGCATATAGCGTCAAATAGCGCCGCTATAGCGCCAAATAGCGCGAATAGCACGAATAGCGCAAATAGCGGCAAAAAAAGCCTGGCGCTACTATGCCATAGCGGCGCTATAGCGCGGCCATAGCGGCGCTATAGCTGCTATAGCGTCGAATAGCGGCCAGAAATGCCCGACGCTATTTTCCATAGCCCGCGATCAAAAACCATGATACAAATATATAAAGAGCTGAAATATAACGGAACGAAGAAAAACTGATTTTCTTTTTTATTTAATATAGAAGTAAGGCATAAAAACAATAAAAATTTGAAAAAAAGGATGCCAAGAGTCAATGTCGAAATTAAAAAGAGCAAAAAGAACTAGAAATGTTAGAGGGGAAGGGAATAAAAAAGAAATTAATAGACAACAGAAAAGGAAAAAATGAAAATAAAAGAAAGAAAAAAGAGAAACAATGTCAACAGTTGGGGGGGGGGGGTCCCGGAGGATGGCTATTCTCCTTTCACATTCTCACAGCAATTAGGGTTTCTTATTTTTCACGTGCGCAGATCCAGATTTGTTACATATCTGCTGATTTTGGAAAATTTGGGCCCACAACTTTACTTTTCATACTTTTTAGTGCTGAACCTGGGAGGAAACCGCAATTTTCCACCATCAGCACCATACCGTGGCAGCCAAGCTAAATCTGCAATGCCATACTGCCACGGAACTGCCATGGCCGCTATTTAATAACACTGACATTTGATGCCGTAGACAGCACTGACCCGTACTTGTTAAGTTTTTATGCATTAAACTATTGTATATCATTTCTTTAGACTATTGTGGAGGACAAAGGATAATGAAAAAATTGTATATCATTTCTCTTGACCACAACTACATTATCCTTCCACGTTATGGAAAAGCTAAAGGAAAGAAGAACACGGTGCATGTAAATGAAATAAAGGCGTTCCGAAGAACTTGTTGGAAATTTTATAAGAAATTTTAACTAATTTTTTAGTTCTATTTGTGATTAAACTTTTACTTCCCCAAAAGAATTTCTTTCTGACCTCTTAATTGCAGATTAACAGATAAGCCTTTTAACTTTTAACATTCAGATTATACTTCAGAAGTCATAACTGAATTTTTAGTGGCATTTTGGCTGCTGCTGATTTATCTGAGTTCGAAAATTAATTATCATTTTTAGGTACACAGAAGGAGTACACAAACAATCGATAAAATTTACCTCATCGCATACCCAAACATGGAAAGTGACAAATAATGTATTTAACTATCACGATTCTGGTGACAAATAAATATGTGCCACACACAGGAGTTCCGTAAACAAAGCTGGATGAATTTAACATTCAAGGAAGTGAGGAACAAATGATGCAAGTGTAACAGGTCAGTGTCATACATCAAGATTTGCTGTCAGCTCAGTTAGTTGGGAGGTTCCCATTTTAAACATGCTTGTTCATAACACCTCACAGATGAAAACTTTTAGGTACTCACTCAGTTTCGGCAATTATTTAACAAAAACTAATTAAATGTGACTTTATATATCTCATAAGAATGACATGCAAGACTCACCATAACCAGAAAAGCTGCTATTGCATCTCATCTCAGCTTCAGTTAGGCGGAAGAAGAAAAGAAAAGGACTCACTTATACATATTCAATACCAGAATATATAGCGTTAACGAAACAATCAATCAATGAAATTATCACCACATCATCCATTTACCGATACAACCGTAAACTGAAGAACTCAAACAGAAACGTAACCTAGAAACAGAAAAGCAAAACACATATCCAGACAATTTATACTAAATCTTGAGAGCCATGTTAGTTACCTTGCAACTAGCCACCAGGTCCATCCTCTTAAACTACCAAGTAACAATTCTGCAGCAACAGACTTCAAAAGAATCAGGAAAGGGACTGGAATTGGATTACAAGTCTGCAGTTTCTCATGCAACTTTCCTGATCAACATATGGTTCAATCAAATAAGCAAGAATTGCCATTTAAGCCCAAATCACCAAATTATCAATCAATAAGCATAATCAAAAAAAAATAAATAAATAAATAAATAGATAAATTGAGGAAAAAAAAACGTAGATAAACAAAAATCACCAAATTATCAATCAATAAGCATAATCATATAGCAAAAAAAAAAAAAAAAAAAAA